TACCCTCCTGCCCACCTGTTCCCTCCATGCACTTGCAATGTGGACATGGCACACAGGTGACACAGACTCCAACAATCACCCCTATCTAAGACTTAGACTTTATGGGGTGATACACAGGTCCAGAGGTGATTTGGAAATAGTCATAAAGGCCAAACCTGCAAAAGTCTACTGTCTTCAGAGGCAGTAGACCACAGCCCACATCCTCACCAGAAGCTTCCTGTGGCCTGGCCTTGACTAAGTCTCAGATGTCTGGCTTCTTAGGCTTCCATGCCTTTTATAATTCTTGGTCCCCAGGCTTACCGTTGATTCTAAGAACTCTCCAGGAGTCTTGTGTCAAGTTACTGTCTTCACTAAGTTAACCAAAGTGATACTGGATAGTATGTGACCACGATTCACAACGAATATAGGCTAACAAAAGAATGAGGGCTCTTCATTGATGCCTATTCTTTGTAAAGGGTCAACCATCCTTGCCTTTATAAATAGGACCAACACATGCAACCATCAGCATATCACAAACATGACAGAATATGACTGCTGAGCTAGGTCCTAAAGGCATGATGGATCCCTCCTTGCTTTCTCTTGACCCCTGTCTCTGGTAGAAGACAGCTTCCAGGTCTTCAAGACAAGTCCTATGGACTAATCCCCAGAGCAAGACACTGCCTTGTGCCCACAGCTGATATCATCTTGTCAGCTACAAAAGCAGAACTTTCAGCCCTAGCTAAGCCTGCAGCCTGCTGGTTTCAGACAGAAGAGGTGAGACAAAGTTGCCAGTCCTGTTCTAGAGCTCAGGAAACTGAAGATTGTGTTAAAGACTGCTCTGACACAGTTCACATGAACAGCCTCTTCAAACCTGGGCATGTGTATTTCCTAGTATCCTAAGGGTCCTCCCAACAGCTTCTCTCAAAATACAGACGCTACTGGTATCATAGGGGTTCTTGCTTTGCTTATTCATGACAGTGGCTACTTTCCAATAAGTTTGGCCACCATGTTTAATGCCCCATAACTTACAGATTTTAGAATTACACATCATCAAGAACTTTCAGAAAGGACAAAAGCACCAACTGATGTGAGCCTGTGCCCATTTGTCCACGTTCTGCAACCCAATGGCCCTTATTGAACATTTACCCAAATTGTCATAATTATCTGTGCCAAATTTTATTCTTGGGTCATCAACTGTTCCATGAGCACACTGAGGGACAGTGGACAAAGGGGACCATTCTGACTGCACCTGGCCGTAAAAAAAAGTCCTCTAAAGATCCCCCAGCTGCTTGATCATGTGTATTAAAATCATCTTGCCCACAGCCCTCTGCATTTCCAGATGAAAACAACTATGCCCATGACTTTATAATTTGTCCCCATTAAAGCACAAAATCTATAAAAAACATCTGACACTTTGTTCTCACATGTTTCTTTAATTTCAGACACCTACTTTCCCAGAGACATCTCCTGCCTCACACCATGGTTAATTTTATTTTCATGCATCTTTACACAGTATTTAAGCTTCCACTCAAATGCGCCTTGTACTCGTCATGGATATTTTCCAGCTTAAGCTTTCTGCAAAGACATCACCCTCTGGAGCCAGGCCACACACTACACCATCAGCACCATCTCTGCTAGGGACTCAGCTTCCACTGCCAAAAATCAAGCAGTGGGAAATGAACACAAGGGACGAGGGCCCCCTTCTGAATGCTAACTCCAAATTCCAGACTCAGCTGAGGATCTGGTAAAGAAACTCAGATATAAAATGTGTGTGATTGGACCTTCCCTGAAAAAAAAAGTTGGTGTCTCAACACTGAAACATCTTGATAAAATTTTTCTCAAAGCAAAACTCTCCATGGAACCCTTGAAACTAATTCAAGATGATTTTCAAATCAAGAGCAGTAGGCATAGGAGTCCATCATTGGGCTTCTTCCAGACTTGTAGCATTCTGCAGTGGATGCATTTGGTTCCTGGGGGCTGAGTCATGGTGTCCCTGATAGGCGCTGGCCCTGTACCCTCTAGGGTGGCACCCAAGTCCTCTTCACATGTTAAGGCCACCTTGTTGAGCTTGGGCTACAACAGAGAGAAAACACCAAACATCTTTTGGACTTGTTTTGCTATTACTCACTGCAAAGGAATGGCATGCCATCCATGTGCCAGTTCAAGTGCCCGCTCTCCGGGGCCCTGCTGGAGCAGGAGTATGAGGGAAGGGAAAGTTGCCAGGGCGGGGAGGAGACACAGCTGCCCGTGGGGCTGGGTCTGAGTGCTCACTTGCCAACCTCAGTGTCCTCAGCAGCGGGTTTGCTACCAGCTCAGATGGCCTGGGGTTCTGGAACAAAAAGGACAGTAGTGAACTTGGAATGGAAAAAACAAGAGGGCAAGGGCATGGAAGGGAGACAGCGGGGTACAAATATCCCCAGCCAGGCCTTCTGCTGGTGCCCTGCTATTTGCACGCCTTGGCCTGAAGCTCTGTCGCCTCTTCATGTGACAGCTAGGAGCAGCATGGCAGGAATTCAGATCTGCTATAGGCACAATTGAGCTCTTTAAAGAAAGCCAGAGGAAGTCTTATCATGTGTGATGCCTGTGGTTCTCAGGGGCATTGCTGGGGAAACTGCTCAGCCAAAAGGCCTGAGTAGAAAATGGACCACTAAAGAATACACACGGCTCCAATCACAGCTCCTTAAATGAAAAATCTCTCGGTTCCAGGTCGTGACCTCCATGGGATCTCAGAGCAGGGCTGTGCCCCACAAATCAGCTTCTTAAGGTGATCCATGAATTCTGGGGACAGTTAGACCCTGGAGTTGGATTCCAGATGCAGGATCCCACAGCCAAGGCTGCAAGGCACCTGTGGAGTTTACCCACTGTTTGAATCCTAGCACAGAAGGTCTCACATTTCTTACGTGAATGTGACAAAGTGAAGGAATGAATGGCAGTGTATAAATGAGGTATGTGGCTGCTTCTGCAGCTTAGTGCTCTGTCATCACTGCTGCTTGGTGTGACACAGCACCGTCAGCAACCTGTTTATGCACCGTAGGACTTGTCTCTCCTACTTGTCTTCCTTCAAAAAGCAATCTTGAATAAAGCCTCACTATGTCACTGTCACTGTCACAGATTGAACTGTTTAACTGCTTTCCTTTAACAAATTCTTTAGCAGGGAGCAGAGCACAGTGGAGACTCAGGTTTTGCCAAGGATGTTGCCCTTAGTTCAGACACTCACGGTTGGGCCCCTCCCAAGTCAGTCTCAGAGCCACGAAATCCACTGTTCACCCAGCACAGTACATCACACACAACACTGACGCCTGCATAGTCAGCCACTGCTCCTGACCAAGCCTCCTGCCCGCTCTTCTGCCCTCCTTCACTGAAGAAAGTCCTGACCTCATTCTTAGGCCCCTGCAAAAGCCATCAGAGTTCTCCACCCTGGCACACATTGGAATTCCCTAAGGAGCTCTGCAGGAACTGCAGCTTGTGAGCTGACCTGCAGAAATCAGAGCTAATCATGAGGAAAAGGCCCAAGAAGGGGTGTTTTTGAGCCACTCTACTGGCTCTGATACACATCTCCCTTCTCCTGGCCCTCGCTCTATGCCCCTATCCGGGCGCCTATCAGACCTCTCTCACCAGAACACTCCAAGAAGAACACTCCACATCCTGCCAGCAGGTGAGACAATATTATACACCTTCACTGGACTAAGACCCCCCAGGACAGGAGTGGGTTTTCTCTGTTCTCAGATTTAGAGACCCTATAGTAGACCTCCTGCAATGGCACCTGCGTGGCTACAGTAAGTCAGATATGGTTTATCCCTCTGTCCTGCCACCAAGTCTTCCCACCTACTAACCATGATGGACCAGAGGTGGATGCAGGGTCACATGGGTACACATTCCACAAGCTCTCTAGCAACCCATGCCCCAGGAGACAGGAAGGGAGATGGAGGAAAAATGGATCCTCTGCAGAAATTCAGCAGAGGTTAAGAAAAGCTCCTCCTAAGGCAAGCCAGCACCTGCTTCTTCCCAGCCAGGCCAATTGCTTCCCTAACTGATGTATTCTATCAGGTTGCTACAGTTTGATCTAAAATGTCCCTCAAAAAGGCTTATGTTCTCAGAGATAGGGCTTTTGAAAGATGATTGCATCATGAGGGTGCTAAAATTCACCAGTGGATTAATCCATTGATGAATTTCTAACTGAATGTGCTGTTAGGGAGTGAGGGCTAGTTGGAAGAGGTGGGTCATGGATGGTACAGTTCGGAAGAGTGTATTTCAGTTCTTCCTCACTCTCTCTGCTTCCTGGCTGCCAGGAGGTGAGCGGCTTTCCTCTGCCTTTCCTTTATGCCACGCTGGCTCTGTTTTGATAGAGATTATCATAAACTGAAACCTCTGAAACCCAGAGACAAAATAAATCCTTTCTCCTTTAAGTTGTGTCTTTGAGATATTTTGTTCCAACAACAAAAAGCTGGTTAATACACAGGGTTACCAGATAACAATCACTTCCCATGTCCAGTGTACTTTTTTACACCAGCTAAGTCCACTATAATCAAGCAGTCAAGCAACTCCCACCCAACATCATTCTGGCCAGGAACGCACAGCAGTCCCGTAGAGTGGCCACATTTTCTGCCTGGCTAAAAACCAACAAGGCACACTGACTCTAGCAGCTCCAACTTCTGAGAGGCCAAGCTACCAAGGGAAACACATTGTCTTTAAGATATTTACCAAATCCTACTACACTGAAAATAAAAGGAAAAAAAAAAAAAGCAAAAACAGCTATGTAAAATAACCAGGATTGATGTCACTGATTTTTTTTCCTAGCACAACTCATCAATTCAGGATGTAGATTGCAATACAACAAATAATAAATCATTTGATTAAAAAATCACGATGGGCGTATGACACATATATATATACCACTGCTTTCTAAAATTCCTCCTGGAAGCAATTTACCGGCGGAAAACACACGCAAAGGAACAGGCTGAGTGTTGCTTAGGCTGAGCAGACAAAAGATGGATCAGAGCAACGAGGCCATCACTTCTCACCTTCGGGTCCTGCTCAAGGTTGCAGTGTGCTTCCATCTAAGCAGACGGATCACTTCGGCCTTCTTTTGCTGGACACAGATGAGAAGCCGCCATTTCCGCAGGCCCAACAACATGAACACTGCCTCAGACTCTGCAGGGAGGGATGAGGAATCAGTCCACCAGGGGCAGCACTGAGCAAGAAAAAGATTCTCAACCCCTCTACTTGGGGGCTGCTGAGAGGAAGCAGGAGAGAGGGGTGGCGGGCAAGTCTTAGTCTCCTCATCTGCAGCAAGCACCTGACTTCAATTATAAATGAGGAAATCAAACTGGTAAATTTCTCAAACACATCACATTTAAGGCAAAAGGTAAAATTTGACTTTGGTTGTTGGTAAAACTTGCCAGAAAATGTCTCTCTCATTATGTGAAAACGTGAAACTGTTAAGAAAACTAGAAATGCATAAAAGTGTGTGTGTGTGTGTGTGTGTGTGTGTGTGTGTGTGTGTGTGTGTGTGCGCGCGCACGCACACGGTGTTTGATGGTAATGTCTTTTAGAGTTGATTCTTCAGTGTTGAATGAACTCAGTTTCCTGAGCATAGAGACTCTACCAAATCTGTGTGTCAGACTTAGGAGCTGCCCTGCATGAATGGCTGGGTGCCTGGGTAAAGCCTGATTATAAAATGAAGACAGGAAATGAATTTTCAGCACAATTGGAGTCATTGCTATTGTTTCTAACCACCATGACTTTTCATGACATTTTATAGTCCTTGGAGGCCTCAGTTAACTTCCCTCCACCCTGAAGGGCAAAAATTCTTACATTTCTCAATTGGGTCTATTCGTTGCCCTTTCAAAAATTTGCTCTCTCATGCTCCTTGGAAATCTGTATCCACACTCCAGAAGAGCCAAGAGCACTTCCTCTCGAGCTCTCCCTCTACTCTCGGTGTAATCCTGTCTTTCTTCAGGTCTTACCAGAGTGACTGCAGTAAGTCACTACCAAGAGGAGAGCCTGATGGCTTCATAGCACCTGTTCTGACAGACTTTCTGTCATCACTTCACCCCTTCAGGAACTTTCACAGTTGCACACAGATTTCTCCATTGTCAGGGGACTATTAAAATGTGGGCTCCCAATTAGGCTGAGGGCCTTCAACAAGAGGCATGGCTGCCAAAGAAAGTTCAGGGTCCCTTCCGGTTTGTCTCTATCACAGGCCAAAGGTCACAATGTGCACAGAGTGCAGCTTCCTGAGCCCAGTCCCAGCAGCTCTGCTCGCATGAACCTTCATCTCTGATGCAATATTAAATGGCCCATTCTGTATTAATTTATTAGGAGCACCACCTAATTCCCAAGAATGTATAACTCAGCTTTGAATAATGACTTTAAACAGATCAACAGTGAAATATAGACATAGCACTACTTTCATGCCAAGCCACTCTGCACTCTTTAGACAGAATCTCTATCCAGGGAAAGTCAGTTGTCTTTGCTGTGCAAGATCACTCAGCCTCCTCCTCAAGCACTTCACACTCTGCCCTCAACCTGAGGTCATCATCTCCCCTTAAGAAATGCATCAGGTCACATTTGCTGATATCTTTGGACTCAGTGATTACCTCGCCTTCTCACATACACGCATGATCCTGCTGCCCTGGTGTCCCATACCTACCTCCACTCTGGGCTATACCATCAGCAGGAGCCCTTTCTGAGCCTCCTAGCCGAGCATGTTACCGGGTGGCCCAGGTGGGTGACATACCTGGAATCCATGGGCTTTATGAGCAGGGGAGAAGGTCAGGCAGGACCTATAAAGACGATGAATGCATTTTTCTACATAAGGAATCTCAAAGAGGACCATGACTTTAAACAGGTTAGGAAATGTTGATCCCTACCACACAGCCCAGCTCCTAGACATCGTACCAGTTTTTACAGAAGCTTTTCCATCTTTCTCATCTCATGCTGTCTACCCCTGGGCTCCAGCTCTACTCAGACATCTGCTGTTCCCAGACAGCACACATTATTTATCGCTGCTATACAAGCACATGGAAGTCCCTCTGTCAGGAAGAATTCTGACCCTGTTGGCTGCCAAGAAAACATTCTAAACCAAAACCTGCTCTATTTGGTGAAGCCCTTCCATGCCTCAGTCCACAGGCCCATCCCCCAGACTCTGTCCACCTCAACATCCAGTGTCATATTTGTCAGTCTTTGGTAGTGACAGGTTGTGGCCCCCTGTGGACATGGAACATCTATACAACAAACACCCTGCTTTCTTTTTGTAACGCTGATGCTAAGCAGAGTGTGTGAATAAGCGCTCAACAAATATTTAAGATTCCCACTCTCCCTTCTAAATGATCTCAGAAACTCTTAAGCACTACTCACAGCTGATGAAAACGAAGAAACATCCTTTGAAAGAATATTGTTGGCCAGCAAAGAATACATCTAGCTTGGCTCAACACAGTACAAAATTATTAAATTTCTGGCCCTTGCACTTTTCTATTACATTGAGCCAAAATCAAGACTTTGCTTAAAGGAATTTAAATGGATAGACTGATAACATCTTCGATAGATGACTGAGCTTTAGCTAAGGCTTGCAATGTTGGCAAGAAGTAATTTATTGAATAAATGATACACTTAATCAAGTGCCGCACCGAGCTAAGGAAGGGAGACTGCTGAGTCAAATAGAGTGGAAAATTAAGGGCAAGGTTACCATTCCAGAGCATTCTCTGTCCGGCACTTAAATGTTTAGCTTATTATAAAGGCTGTTTTCAAGGACAGGAACAACTGTGTACTGAAAGCAAAGTGTTAATTGCAGTGAATGATGTGACCAGTAACAATGCGAGTTTTTAGGTGACTTGAAATAACGTGCTGGAGACAGAAGTTTCTTTTTGATTAGTAAATTTCACAGCACAACTAAGATTGTGGAGTTTTATTTTTGCTTATTTAGGAAGCTAACATTTTATTCTCTTTGGAAGAGCATTTGCATGTTTTCTATTCATTAAAGCAAGAAATACCCTAAGGCAACATTTTGTTGGTCCAGATTGAGTTACTGTAAATCCTTGACGGTAATAAAAGGACACAAACATTCTGATTTCTTATTAATTCACACTGATTTCCTTCTCTATAATTGTGAGAGCTTCTGCTTCAGGGGCTTAAGATGTCTGGGACTGAACTCTATGCCTAATGTGGGCGCGCGTCACCTGTGCTCTCTAGAAGTGTCTCAGGCCATGCCCTAGCCCTTATCTCCTGCCCACACACACCCAGGATGCAGGCTCACGCTGCACTGGAAGGGAAGGGGCAGCCTCCTGAGCTGCCAAGGGGGGGAAACAGAAACCCGGCATCTGACTCTCTCTCTCCTTGCTGTATGCAAAATGCAGATAGCGCCCTGAAAAGAGCAAAGACTGGGAAAGAAAGTCGTACAGCTGCAGAAGTCCTGTGTCCCAAAACAGGTCTATCAGCTGGGTTTCTGGAGCAGGGGAGTCTCTAGAACAATTTACTTTGTATCATGAAGAATGCTAGAGGCCTCCCACCTTGGGTGACCATATCATCTTATCTCAAAAGCAACACAGCCTATGATGGAAACAGTATGCTGTGTAACAAGTGGACAGATACAGAATTGGCTAAGGGGAGGGTCAGTCCTAGGAGTACTGTCCTATGGGAAAAACTACTGGTGTAGTCAGGGCCCATCTGGCTCCTTGTGCCTTCTTCACCCCAGAGATATGGGTCACCACCGTGACTCAAACATTAGCAGCCCACGAGGAGACAAGTCCTGCCCATTCCCTGTGCTGCACGCCACCTGCAAAATTAAAAACTTTTTCCCACAACAGGAATGTTAGTTGTTTACACTTTTTTTTTTTTTTTATCAGTACCGGGGATCGAACTCACGACTGCCTGCTTGCAAGGCAGGTGCTTATGCCGCTGAGCTAAATTCCCAGCCAGGAATGTCAGACAAATTGAAACAGGGGTGAGGGAAAGGTGAGGAGAGAGGTCCCAAAGCCAAACATCAAATTTTCCAGAGAAGCATCTGCCTTTGGGCTGGCCTCTCTGTGCTGAGGAAGAAGGGTTACAGGGCTCCCCCTTCCCACACAGTGCTCTGAGGATGCATCCCCCACACTGAGTGCTTGTGCTTGTGTTGTGGGCCAAGAGGTCAGGACTGCCAAAGGGTCAAGGCCAACACTGCTGAAAGCAAGTAGCTCTGGAGAGCAGATAGATTAAAGCCTGAAAACACCAGGTCCTTCTGGGGTGAGAGACAAAATAAACAGGCACAGTATAAAGGCCATCAAAAACCGTACATTGTATTCAAGTGGCTATGTGATAAGACATTCAAAATTCTTGGTTGAGAAGAAAAATGGAACTAATTTTCTCCCTAGTACAAGATCAAGTGACTACTGTCCAGCTGGAAATATCCACATAGATTTAAGAACATTAATAACCAAAAATTATGCTTGCATTTATAGAAAAGAAATGAAATGACTGTCTTGAGCACAAAACAGTAGTGGCCAAGGAGTTGATGCTAGTATTGTTGTAAGCCTTTTGTTCAAGTCCTGTTGTCCTTTGGTAAGTGCATGCTAAGTCTCTGGACATACCCCCCACGCACCTGTGTGACCCTGTCATTTTCCCTTATAAAGACAGGAATTGCACATGCATAGGTACATTTCCTACCTTTTCCTTCTGCCCTATTCCTTTGGATATGCCCCAAATTGCTTGCCTTGAACTATAGACTGCTCAGCTGCCTGTGAAAACCAGAAGTCCTGTCCTCTTGACTTCCTGTTACTGCTCTAGGCAGAGGAAATTCATGACTCGGATAGCTCTCAACACTGGGTCTCCTGCATTGTTGACCACTCCCACACAACTGTACCATCTCCATGCATCCATGCATCCATCCATCCGTTTCACACTTCAGTGTGCTCTGAGTCCCAGGTACTGTGTGACCAGCAGGCCATCCAGGAGTTGCTGACTGCCAGTGGAATTCATGCACCAAGCCTTGGTATTCCTGTATCAGCCTTTCTTAGAGATACAATTCAGTGTTGCTGACACCCAGATCCAAGACCCAAAAACATTGTCCTCCATTCTTCACCCAATAAATCCTGGGTTCAAAACACCTGCCCAAAACACTTTCAGGTTTTAGCCTGTAATCAAGGATCAAATTTTCCTTCAAAGCCTTCCTACTCTCAATGGAGTTTATAGTTGCTCTGGAGAAAAATTTGCTTCCTCAAAACTTTTGTTACTTGATACAATAGACAGTAATAGATGAGATTACATCTTTTTTTATTGCATTTGAGAGATATTTTAAAATAGATCCATCCTTTTAAAATTTTCTATTTGGTCCTTATTTCCTTGGGAATCAATGTAAAAGAATATGTTTATTTGTTTTTTGAGAATATGTTGTTAAGAGTTTTTATTTCATAAGCTTCAACAATCCCTTTGAAGTATTTATATAGTTGAAAGAAAGACACAGGACCCACATTTCTGGTTGTGATCCAGATGGAGTAAGAGTTCAAAGGCTGTGAACCACATCAAAACTCCCCAAGTGGAGCACCTGGATGGGGCGAACCCCGACAGGTGAGATTTGAGGAACCGCATCCAGAAACAAAAGAAGAAAAGGATGCAAGTTTGGTAATCCCCAGACTGTTGATCTCCCAGCTCATATCCAGCCTTAGCCTCTGCCCCACCTGCATCTGCTAGAGATGGTTGACCTAAAATCCTCACCATATAGAATATTAGCCAGCATTCTGCTTTTGTAGACAAAAATGCAAGTGACAACAAAAAGGTAATCATCCAAAACATACTTGATACATCTGTGGTCAGTCCCTAAAATTAACAGCATGCTAAATGTACCCACCAACTTGATATCACTCTACCTAGAGCTGGTCTCCAGAAAGAGAGTGAGAAATGTTGCTAAGTTGAGAAACAGGAGGGAGGCCCTGCCTTGGGACCAGCTGCACAGAGCAGCTTTTCCTGGACCAGCGATTGCCAGGATCACAGTACTGAAAGTAGCAGACACTCAGAGATGACCCATAATAGCCTCTTTTTTTTTGGATGGAAGAAAAGTGGTTTTGAGGTTTTTAGGCACAGTTTATTAATTTCATAGCTTAATCTTCTGGTCTAGAGGCTGCTCTCTTACTATGGTGCCATACACTATACTCTAGACCATGCTACTTCTTGGTGCTGGGTTTGGTTCACCTTTCCATCGCCTCACACTCTGCATGTTCTAATCAAACCAGGAGCCCAGGTTAATATACAAAGCAAACTGTATTTCTGCCCTATTGATCACTAATTCCAGAGTCTGTGGTGCATGCTGAAGAATGAATTCATTCACGGAGCACAGGTGAGCGATAACACTATGAGATCAAATACTTAATCATGCAAAGTTTATGTAATTGTTCAGATTATCCTACAAAAACTAAAGTTACCTGCAGGTCACATCAGATTGATTTGACCTCCCACATTGGATGGCACATAAAAGGTAGAACTTATTTGTATGGATTTTGACTTTATTTATTCATTTATATACTTTCTTAACATGTGCACTGCACAGCATTGAGTGTTTAAGAATCATAAATACAGTTTACTGGGTGCCAGCCACATGCCTGGTAATTTATATGCATCATCAGTCTGCTTTGCAGTAGCCATCTAAACAGACTCGATCAATCCCATTTTAGAGGGGAAAAAATGCAGTGGTCTGAATTATGAGTCACTTGGCTAGGCTCCTATTAGAACCATGCCTGAACCCAAAGTCCAAGCTCTGAGACACACCTTTTGCTGATTACTGATATAGGAGATAAAACTATCTGAATGAGAAAATTGGAAATAGAGTCCACTAAGTGATTTAGGATGGGCTTTAGGATGTCCTTCTGTGGAACAGAAAGGAAAAGAGATTACTCTTGGGTAAATGATCCAGGAAGCCTTGGTGGAGTCTGAAGCATTTGAGTTGAGCCTTGAGGTACTAGAGTTCATATAACGAAGACAAAGAGAATGGAGATGTGCAGCACAAGGCTGGGCAGGCTTCACCTCCCAGGATCTTGGCAATTATCAGGAGATAGCTGAAAGATGGTCTAGAACATACTTTTTTTCTAGAAATAATAAAAAATACCAAGGAGGTCAATCTTTATCTTAATGGACACATTCATTCCAATTTTGGAGCACAACTTCCCTAAATGTAACTCAAACATGATAAATGAAAAAGACCGGTCACATGAGGGAAAGGAGTCAGCTTAGCCTGTGTTCCCTTAATGCTTCCAAATGTGTTTTCTTGTGAGGTCACATAAGTTCTTTCCAGTCCAGCTGTGTGTTCAGCGTCTCCAACAGAACAGACCCCATAATTCCTGGATGGACCACTATTAATCTCTCTCTGATTCAAGTTCAATCTATGCTACCAAAAATATATGGCTACCTCCCATCTATACTGTTACCCACTAAAAATGTAAGCTCACTGATGGCACACATGCCCCTGAGAACCTCTTGTCATTTATCCATCCACCCAACAGCAGTCAGCAAGAGTCCACTGGCAGGTACATGGCTGAGTGCTGAAAACAATGTATTCATGAAAATTGCATCTCAGGCTATCTTTCCAAAGCAGAGTAGAGCTGGTATAATTAAATGGATTCAGAAAACACAAAGATCTATACTAACTTGTGCTCAAGGAAGCATCACAGGGCAACAATTCCCTCATGGACATCCCACAACTGAATTGGCTGGGGATGATGAGAGGGTATGTTATTAAATCTAGAACCATCCTGACCTATCTAACATCCTGGCCTTGTTTAGAGACAACTCTGGCTTCCAACTCTGTCTACACATGTAAAGTGTGCTGGATGGACTGGGGGGATCCTGCTGGGTCACAGACATTGCTTAACATAAGAAACAAAGGTCCAGAAGTCACATTCAGGAGCAGGGCCATGTCAGGCTGGGTACTGATCCCCATCCTTCTCAATGACATGTAGTCCCCACCTCATGGGCCTGCTCTGTGGCACCCCTGGTCTTTAATTTGCCTCAGACCTAGAGCTTGTGCTGGGAAGTCTGTCCCCAGCCCTGTTCATGCACAGAACTCTGCCTGTACCGTGAACATCAAATGATGGTGATGGTCAGAGACTACCTCAGGGTCCACACCCCAATATTTTATGCCTGCCTTTGCTTAGTGCCCCAGTTTTGAAAATGCCCCCCTCCCACACACACAGTTTCAATAGACATGGTCCTTATTGAATAACCCATCCGCCTTTATACAGACCCTCAAGCACCCCGGGTTAAGGGGTACTTCGGGTCAAGGACACAAGTGACTGGACAGGGACAATAATTTCTAGAGCACATGAGAATCTGTGCTGATTTTCCTTCAACTAACCATACACTCATTCACCCTACAACATAAGCTCAGGGCCATTTTCTTTCCTTGCGTTTCCTGGATTGAAACGCCTGATAGAGTGGTCATAACTCAAGACAAATCAATAATGTAATTCTGCAGATATCACTTTATAACGTTTCTAGAAAGATTTACCACTCCTGGAAGGAATTTAAGTCAGGACCTGTACCATCTCCATGAGCTTGGCTCTGCCTCAACACCGTGTGGGTTGCCCAGCCGTGCCCAGATGGTCCCAGGGAGCAGGATTGGCACGCTGGCCCCTGGCTCCAGGATCGCTGTCGGTCAAGATACCGACACTGTAAATCCTGGCAGTCCTCCTTGGGCACCTGCAAGGGCCCCCAGCTTGTATCCTATTCTGTCCCCTGCCCAGGAAGACAGGGACCCACACCCCAGAAGGCAGTATCCCGCAGCGCCCCCACAGGGACTGGAGTTGGCGCAACTGGACTCACTTTCTGGAAAGGCTCCAGTATCAACCCCAGTGTGCGCAGCCCGGCACACACCGGCTGGCACTCTTCATCTCGACCTCGTTCACATACGTCGCCCTGTCACTGTTCCCTTTGCATGTAGCCACGCGCAGACACACAGGCTCTGCTCTTCTTGTCACCAAAAGGAAGAGCAAGACCTGTTTTTCTGTTCCCCAAGTTAGGCTGGGGACTCGGGGAGGGGACGCCCGAGGGCTATTGACGGGACCGCAAGTCCCTGGTGGCACCAGGTGCGCCGCTAAGGTGGCAGGGACCTGACTAGGACCCGGCACCCCAGCGCGGCCCGTCCCTCATGCAAGGCAGTGTCCCCGGCCTGCTCTGGCCACTCGGGACGCACAGCTACCGCGGGGATGCACCGCCACCGACCGTACCGCACTCCGCTCACCTCGGGGGCGCTGGTGTTGTTGCGCCGATCGCGCCGCCGCAGCTCCGCATCTCCCAGGCGGCCACCCGTCGCCCTCCTGGGCGTCCCGCGGTCCCCGCCTGGCGCGAAGGAACGTAGAGGGGACGCGCACAGGCAGCGGGGTCCTGGCGCCGCCTGCGATGCCTCCTGCCTCCCGCCTCCCGCCGCCTGCTGCCCGCAGCCTAGCAGGAAATTTGTCCGGCCAGTCCCGCCGCCTACTCGGCTGTCGCTCGGGCTCCCCAGCTTGTGGCGGGGGCGGGGGCCCTGACTTCGAGGAGCGGGGGCGACGCCTGGTGCCCGGCAAGGGGAGCGCACCCAGGGCGCCCGCCCTTTCCTGGGCGGTGACACCGCCCATAGGGCACGACCTAGAGGGCCTAGAAGTGCTTGTGCTCTCTGGAAGTCACTTAGCCAGTCTGGTGCCCCTTTGGGGGCGTCCGTGGCCCACACCCTCTGTGCTGACCTAGGTGCATGGAGAGTCTGCCATAGTGTGACGGAAATTCCTACCAGCAGGAAAGAAAAGACAAGGCCTTCCCTGTCCAGCTTGGCTCTGGGCTCCAGGAAATGGACTGAGTGGGGAAATGCTTCAGGTCATGCAGCTGGTAACTAAGAGCGCAGGCACCAGCAAATGCTCCTGTACTGGGAGAAATCAGTAGAGCTCTGAAATCTCCTGGGCCTAGTGCTCTCCTCCGTAAGAGGGTAAAAGGGTGTTCCTCGGTGCTGTGAGAGAGGACTTCAGTGACAGTGAGGCAATCTTCGGCGAAGTTAAACGCACAGGCAGAGTCGCACGAGAAAGGGTCTGGGTCTGTCGTTCTGAGAACTTTCCTGATAATTTCACTTTGAACATTCAGAAAGATTTCAGAGAGAAAGAAATCCAGATAAAGAGGCCCATCTGGGTTCTGAGTCTTTGTGCTGTCTCCTGTGGTTGGACCAAGGCTCAGTCATCATCCTGGATGCTGCGTTCTGTGGTGGGGACCTTGCTAAGTTTTATGAATGACTAAGGAATGAATGAATGAAAGAATGAGAAAGTGCCACTTTGATGTTAACACCCTACATCAATAGACACAGAAGATTTGCAACACGTGGGTTCTGTTGAGCACAGAGCCGCAAGCCCAAAGACTGAAGATACCTATTGGCTGAGACCCTCAGTTGAGCTGCTCACAACGACTTTCCTTCCACAGAGGCAAAGAACAGTGACGCCAGTGAGGAAAGTGAACTCCACCCTCCTTCCTCCCGTGCCCTGCATGCACCTGCCCATTGGACCTGTACAGAGCTGAAAACACCATTAGGTACCAAGAACTCAAAATTTTGCAGTTCTGGGGTCCTCTCTTCCAACCTCAGGCTTGTGAGCTCCTGGCTCCTCCTAGTATCTCCTGTCATCTCAGGTCTAACTCGTGCTCTAACTCACAGTCACCCCTGCCTCCACTCCCACCTCTGCTTCTAATCCATCTCCCAGTCTACTTGTTATCTATCTTCTCAATGTTTTGGAAATGTACCCTTTCTCACTCTCTTCACCTCTTCTGAAACTGCAGTGCTCAGACAAACCCCTGCTTAAAAGCCTCCATTCAGAACAATTCCCAAAATGCCATGAGGCTCCCCCTGACTTGTCAGCTGATCCCAGGCCCCTGCTGGCCTGCTGCAGCCCTTGTTCTTTCCTCACAGGGCAGAGCCAAACTCCTTCCCTCATGGCTGCCTGCAGTGCTTTTCTCTTTGGAAGACGTCCCTGCTCCTTTCTTCCACTCTCTTCCACTGTCTTCATCATGGTGTAAGATTATTTATGAGTTTATTAGCTCCTTTAGTGTCCATCATCCCACCTTCCTTGCATCCAGGGGTGAAGTTATAGCACCCTGGGCTGTCTCAGTCTCTCTCCTTGAGCTCCTAACCCATTCTGTAGCCAGGAGGTTCTCAATGAACACATGTGGGCTGGCAGAACAAAGAGGATGGGCCCCAGCAGGCATCAACAGGCAGCCTTGTTCCCTGGGAATCCACTGTGTGTGGGGAGGGGGAGTCTGACCATGCCCTTAAGGCTTAGCCCAGGTTGGATGGAGCCAGATGGCCCATGATGTCACCCAGCCCTGGATTTTCCTGCTGTTACAGCTGCAGAGGCAGACTATCCACAAGAAGGCAGTGACTTCAAAGCAGTTTTGCTTGTTAACACTGCAGGGCAGAGACTCTGACCCACCAAGAGAAAAACATGCCACCTTTGTCAGACATCTGCTGCTGCAAAGTGAACAGCCTTGAGAACATGATGAGGAGGCAGATGGTTTTTCTCTCTTGATAACATCCTCCCGGCTGGACCCCAAAGATTCTTCTAGGAATTAAGCAGTGCTCCTTAATGTCTTCTAAAGTCTGTAGACATCCTAACACCAGAGAAGTAGGTGGTCACAAACACATATAGCAGAGTGGTATGGAAACCCCTTGATCCTTCTTTACCATCTTTATTCTCCTCTCCAGGTTCAGGTCCCTGTATCAATTCCTCTGTCTTCATCTTAGTCCCAGGAACATCTCCTGCCTCTTGCTGAACACTTACCCACCCTCATGTTTTAGGATCCCGAGACACAGCCCTTTCTCTGCCTGTCAAAGCACACATTAGGTCTCTGCCCAATGCCATCCACTTGCCTGCTCTCCCAGCTCTTCCTCGACACCCAACCGCCATAAGCAGCTCCTTCCTGTAAGATACTGTTCCAGGTGGTATTCCTGGGACTGTTAGCGTCTCCTATAGGTGTGCGTGTCTTGTTTTCCATTGCATAGGCCTTTGTATTTCTCTGTAGTAATTGGGCAATATGTATCATGCTGACTTGGTTCTGTTGGAATGCGAATGCTGAGGCTAGAAATGCACTTTATGGGGATCAGCGAGAAAAGGAAAAACTGATGTGTGCAAATCAAGCAAGAATCTGTTTCTAAACAACACACAGAAATAGTAACATAAAGTTTTTTACATTGAGGAGAAAAAGCAGATCTTCGTGATTGACTGTGAGATAAATTGATAAGGAAAAATTGAGACAGCGCTGGTGTCTTTTGCGATCTTATCCAGGACTTGTTTCTTTGGTGAAGGAACTTAGTTGGATCAGTTATTTTTACAGATCTTTAGAAGGTACCAGAATGAATAACTCTAATGGATCCAAAAGTTTTAATTTTTATGTTGCCACAGCTTTCTCTTCCCTTCTTTTTCCAAGTTATGCCTAAATAGTAACAGTAAATACTCCCTAAAATCAAGACTAACCCTTTATTGGAATATTCCTCTACTTGTCAAGAAAAAAAAATAGTCATTCCTTATTTGAGGTCCTCACATTTTAATTTCTTATTGGATTCTTTTTCATTGAAGAAAAATATACATATGCTGTACAGATCATGGTATTACCGATCAGCCAGGGTTTCTTTTGCTTAACTTCTTGACGGAGTGGCAAGATCCAGTTTGACCTACCAGTTTGGAGGAATCAGTAAGACAGAAAATAAATCCATAAAGGACTGATTTCCAGATCTGGGACATCATATAGCACAGGGATATGATCCTTGAGTAAAAAAGGAAGCAAATGAGATAAGATCAACAATTGTCTCATGACAGTTCCAAAGATGGACTTCAGGCCAGGCTGGGAAACCAAAATGAATGCTGTAACCTTCTGTGAAAAGGACACTGAGTCTGGGGAGGCCAAAGTGGCCAGAACTGGTGATGAGTATGGGAGGGGACAGAGCTGCAGAGGCAAGCTGTGTAAGTGGAAAGAGGAATGGATTCTTGGAACCTTTGGTTGATTTTCATGCACACACATGAGGGCAAGCCACTGAAGAGAGCCAGCCACTGGAAAGCAGTGTGACAAACAATTCCAGGAGTTCTTACTGGGCTGGGAAGAAAAATATTATAACAGAGAATCCAGAAAAGACCTGTACAAATACAGACATCCTCTGCTCTAATTTTCAAAGAAGCAAGAGAATTTATTAGGAAAAGGATAATCTTTTCAAGAAATCAGTCTCCAACAGTTGTATTGAAGCAGAATTTAAAGGAAGATTAGTTGTTTTTTTTTTTTTTTTCCTCCTAGCCTTGGGCAGCTCCACTTTGAATTCCTCCTGCCTATAACTGTTACATCCTCTACTTTGTCTTCTTTCAAAGGATACAAGTAAGGTTGACAACTATGTTCCTGGACAGTCTTCTGACATCCTGGAATCTTTCTTTTTTCAAGGCTAAATTGAAAAACTATCACTGAGTAAGTGGTTGCCATTGTCTTGCTTCTGTAACTTCACCTGTAATCATTTTCAGGTTGGTACCAACCTTCTTTGACAAAATGAATAAAACTGGAGCCCTTCTTTTGTTCAGGGCTCAACCTGAACAAGAGTCTGCTGAATCATTGTACACTTAAATACATCCTCCTGTTTCTCCCACCCTTTCTCTGGACTTGAATTCTGCAACAGTGTAACCACATTTCTAAAAATGGGCTGCAGTCTTACCTCATTCTGTATGTAAAAATTAACTGGAAATTGACTACAACATTAAATATGATAGAAAATTAGAAAATCTCTACAAGAAAACATAGGAAAAATATTTGCAATCTTAGGGTAAGCAAATATTTTTTAATATGGCATTTAAAGCATAAAAGAAAGACTGACAAACAGGACCAGCAAATTGTAACATTGTGCTCTTCAAAGGATGTTAAATGACAATTTATAAGATTGTATGTAAAAACCTATAGGATCTGGCCAAAACTATAACATGGAGGGAAATTCATAGTTTTAATCTTTTTTATTTATGCAAACAATAATAAAGGAAATAAAATATCCATTTCAATATATTAGAAAAGGAAAAGCAAAATAAAGGATGGCAATATTAGCATAAAAACAAAATTCAGTGTCAAAACAAAACAGAATGATACAGATAGAAAGAAACAGAGAAAAAGAATACAAGTCATTGGTTCTAGAACTTCCTGAGTTCTTGTTATCACTTTCATATTGAAATAAACCTATATTCTAATAAAAATATCACTTTTTTGGTCTTAAGACATTTTGAATATATATATATATATATATATATATATATATATATATGCCATAACTTTGAATCTAGGATATCTTATCAAGAAAGTGTAAAGTATAAAAACAAAATATTTGATCACATAGGCATGCTACACTTCAGTCA